TAGCTCAGCAGATAGGAAATGCCAGGAATGAATTAGCCTGTGAGGTTTTAGCCCTGAAGGAAAATGTGCGTCTAATATATATTCAGATTAATATTATTATTTATATTAATATTAACATTTTGTACTGTCTGCAGAAGAAGAGACAACAGGCGCAATAGAGACGGAGATCATCGTTGTGTAACTTCCCAGCTCCCAGTGTGTGTACAGGCTTTGTTGTTGTCCTGTGAAGTCATGCATTACAGGATAGCTTAGCCGTCGAGAGGAGCTTTTTCTTTCTTTTTAATTACTGCACGGCCTGGTCCAGCCAGAGACCATTGTGCCAAAGCGCTGCGAGTTCCCACAATGGAGCCGCTCAGCAGAGAACAATGAATCAAATTCCTGACCGTTCCCCACAGGTTCAGAGGCCCGGCTGACAAATAAAGACAGCGGAGTTACAGTGGCTTAGCTATTCTACACCCAGTAGCTTTCCCAGTGGCCACCCCTGTGGGGATACTGGTTTATGTGTGTGTGTGTCTGTTACATGGTGGCAAGTGCTCCCACTGGGAGCACAGGGAGGGGTTGAAAGATGGGGGAGGGAGATTGTTTGTTTCTTTCTGTTGGGGGAGAAAGACTGTGTGCTCTTTTACTAATGTAATCAAACCCCTGAGAACGAAAAGTTGGCAACCAAAAGCTGCACTGAAGAGCATTATGGATCTGAACTGATCAGTTTTCTTTCCTTGGGACGAAGATGTGAACTTGTTTCAGAAATCCTGTTTGCTGTTGTTTAATGTTGTTCATCACAAATACAGTCCTGGGCTCTTATGTGCTTTAGACAAAAAAACAGTCAATTGTTGAGATTAGGATAAGAATAAACGAACCTTTTGCAAAAGGATGTGCTCTGTTTATATTGCCAAAACTGTGTGCTTACACAGGCTTTAAGTAGGCTGCAGAGCTTAAAGGCCACTAGGCGGGTCTAGTTCCATTTATGTTGTCCAGCTCTTGTCCTGAAAGTTTATCCATTGTACTGCTAAACCTTTGCTGCTAACCTGTTTTGCACATAATCACTGTTTACTGAAACAGTGTGTGGTGGTGAGACCCCACATTGAACAGCAGGTGCCACATTAGGCACAGCCAGATCCCCTAACCTCTAACCTCTAACCCTGGCATTTGTCCGTCATCTTCTGCACTGTCAGTGATTACAGTCTGTCTTCTCCATTCTTCCTTTTTAAACTCTTTGTGACACTGGTACTCTCACACCTTCTCTCTGATTGTTCCCGGATGAACATAATCAACTTTTTCGGATTTCAGTACCTGGATGATTGAGCCTCTGTGGGCTGGGAATGAAGCACTTATTTGCAGACTCAGGATGAAGGAGTTCTTAGTGCTGCAAGATTTTGGTTCAGATTTTGAAATGTGAGAACTTTGACAAGCAAACTCTGTTTACTTTTAGAAAAGTGAGATTTATAATTTCACAGCTTAAGCTCAAGTATTCAGAATGCTAAGTTAGCCTGCGAAATGCATTTACACTGATATGAAGTGGAAAACAGCAGATTGTCACATCTCACACTGGACT